GACATTCGGGAGTGAGAATTAGAAGATCATTTCTGAGGAAGCATTGAGATGTGGTTTACAGCAGAGGTCAGCAAACATGTTTTGTCAATTGCCAGAGAGAATGTTTCACATTGTGGGGCATACCCTTTCTGTTGTAGCTGGTCAACTCTGCCACAGATAACGCATGAACAAATGGAAATGGCTGTGTTCTAGTGAAACGTTATTCATATAAACAGGCAGCAGGCTAAATCTGACCCTCAGAACATAGAATACCAACCGTAGAGCCTGAAGACAGGCTTGAGTCTTGATGTGACCAAGGCTGGTATTGCATGGAAGTCAATGTGGGAGGAAGCTTCAGAGACAGATGCCATGCTGGGGTCAACTCAGAAGCTGGGTTGTAGGTGAGTGACACAAAGAAGAGTATCTGCTTACGTACAAACCAGCTACAAGGGACTGTCATTCCAATGATATAGGCAGATAATAGGTAAAAATGTACATAGCATAAAATTATGAGATGTTGTAGTTGAATTTCATATTCAGGAACTTAAGGCCAATTCCCCAGTGAGAAAACTGGGGGAATCCTGCCCCAGCGCCTCTGCTGGTAACTATTTAGGCTCTGTGCATATTACAGCAGCAGACATTATTTTACGAGATTCCACTTACCATTGATTCATAGCTCTCACTATTGGTAATTGATTTTCTCTATTGAGCCAGAATGTGTTTCCATTTGACTGTTACTTAATCAACATATTCCACGTTAATAGTCTTTCAGATGTTTGAAGGACATTGCTATGCACATTTTCCCTGGGTTTCTCTCCTTTGGCCAACTAGTCCTCCCTCCCTTCCTTTGAGATGAATAGAATGGAATGGAGATGGTACATACCCATGATTTTTAGGATGCCTACAACATATGCACACACACGCATGCACACGCACACACACACACACACAGAGCCCTACAATAAACTCCTGTGGGCCTCTATTAGGAATCTCTATTTTGTTCATGATAATTAATATACATTATATGTGTTAATAAATTCTCTATATAAATAACTAATATTCTTTCCTTTGCAACGTGACTTGGCCTCCTAATCAAATATGATACTTTGTCAGAATGAAGAAATACATAGGTAATCATAAAGTACGGCAGAAGGAGCAGTCTGGGTTTAGAGGATGAGAAGTCAGAGGACGTCATGTGGAGTTATAGCTTTATCTAAAATAAATAGCTCCTAGATGGTGCTATATACATGGAGGTGCTCAGGACACATTTTGATGATTAATTAATTATTAATATATTTAACAGTGTTAATATATGCTGACACCTCCACTTACTAACACAGGTCACAGAACTCCTGCCCACACTTCAGAACCTCTCCAATCAAGTTGAATATTGGCTGAATAGATATGTTGGGGGGAAGACATGTATTTGATTGTCAATTATCCCATGCATGCATGGTTCGTGTTAATTTTAAAAGACAAAATCATTTTTCACGTTTTTCAAAATTGTCATATTCTTTTAAGTTTCTATGCCATAATTTTATAAATTCTCTGGGTCTTTGCATTTGCTCATTTAGAAACAACAGAAGCCTTTTCACAGTATCTCCCGTCCATTATCAACTCACTGGCATCCTGTTTACTTTTCAGAGTCTTGATGCTATTTGACTTCCTCCTCAAGGCCTTATTTGGCACATTCCATCAGAATTAATTGTTCCTTCCTCAGCACTCCCAGGGCAAAACTTGTATTTAGCAAATTAATTTTCTCATGGTTTACCCTTAGTTATTTATTTGCTTATGTCTCCCATAAGGGTTTAAGTTCTCAGTAGCAGTTACTATTTCTACTGCATCTTTGAACATTCCCTGGGCCTGATTCAGGACCTTGTACAAAGTGGGTACTCAAACCATGTTCAACAGAATCTAATTGCCTCCCGACATATGGCTTCAGCAATCTGACATTCCGTGTTTGCTTGCGGACATCTCGGCCATGCAAAGTGTTGTACAGGATGTATTTTTCAAAATTAAGGCTAATTAAAATTAATTTTCTTCTGAGAGTCATTTTAGAATTTCACAAGAGCCTGCGTGATAATTAGGGACACTCAGGAGTGTCGCCAAACCTGGAGTGGGAGTCACTGTTCCATCAAACAGGACCCCCCGAAGTTGCTCTCAGGTGGCTATTAATTTCACTGACTGCAAAATGTGTCAAGGTTTATTAAGTGAAAATCTCATAAAGGTTTGCAAATCAAGTAGTGCTTATGCAATATAGGGAGTATGTGGTTCAGTTCCCTTAAGCAGAAGAGAATTAATAAACAAAGTAAAATAGCAGTGTGTTTATTCTCAGGAGTGTCCTTCAAGGATGGTGATGGGAAGTATGGAGCACTTAATTCTCGCATTTAAGAGAAATACAGCATGAAGTGAATGGGAAAGTGGTGTCAGTTTGAATCTTTTGGACTTGTAATGAAATAAGAAAGATGGCTCTGTGTTCACACATAAATTAAATAGCAATCAATATTTTCATTTTAGCTCTCCTGAACTATAATTTTTCTTCTTATTATCCTTCACTTCCAGTATAGAAGGAGGGTTACTCAAGCCAACTGGAATATGAAAGAGTGAATACCTCAAGGACCAAAACCCTTTCCCTGAATCAAGGAGCCCTTGGAGGTAAGCCCTGGTGAGAAGAGGTGTTGAATTACCCAGGGTTGGAGCTATTATGGTATGGAGAGAGGTAAAGGGTAACACTTCATTAAAGCTAAAAGGTGAAAAGCTGTGGATTTAATTGAATTAAATGACAGCACACATAGACAGAGTGAGAAAGCTTTCCCATAGAGTCGGTGCTCTCTGGAGGGAGGGAGTTTAATTCTTACTGTCATCAGGCTGAGGGAAAGTGTGGCCTCAGTTAATTTCATTTCTCTCAGGGGGGCAAACGTATCTGGGCGGTGATGGGCATTCGGTTTAGTGAAAGGAAGCTGGTGGCTTTCTGAGATGGCCTATGCACTTAGGAGACAGGCTGCCCTGGTACCAGCTCGCAAGGATGAACTTAGTGGGCAAAGCCTGAAATAGCCCGAAGAATATACCAGAATAATGAGAACCAATGCTGCTTTAGCTGCTTTATTCACGTGTTTAAATGTCTGTTCCCCGAGTCATGCCATAGATTGGCCATAGATGGTCCAGTAGCTGTCACCCCAGGGAGGCTAAACAAGGAAGATTTTACTGCCCCGTTAGTCTAAGGAGCAGAAAGAGTATATATGAAAGGAGAAAGGGAAAATTAATACCATGAGATTTAGCGCACAACTCACTTCGTTTTAGAAGCTTACTTTTAGCTTGAAATATAACTAAGAGCAGAAAAGAGCAAAAACACCTTTAGAAATTAGAATTAGTTAAGCTAAGTCAAGAATCCAATAGTGTTTTAAAAGCCATTAAATTATGCATTATCTCTCTGTCTTCTAAAAAGAAAAAGAAAGCACAAAACAAAACAATTCTTCCCATGATAAAAGGACTTCTATTATTTGGCCAAACTTTTTCTAATTTGATGGCAGATTTCCTCATTTCAAATACGGGTATCCCCTGCTTCTCCAAAGTTCCTGTTATGTCCTTTTGCTTTTATAAAAGACCCACATAGTATCTGTTTTCACTATCGGAAAGAAATCCAAAAAGGGTTTTCACTTTTCCAAAAAAAGGCGAAAAGCAAAAAGATCTTCAGCGTTTATTTGCGGTGCCTCACACAGAGGCAGAGGGCACCCTGAGCCGTGAGCCTGGCCCCCCCCAGCTCCTTCCCCAGGAACTACACTCAGCATCTCAGCAGCAAGCCACCAGAGCGGTGAGCTGTCTGTGAGCATCTGGGCTTTATCTGGATTTATTTTGTGTATCCATTAGCAAGATGTGCCCTAAGGTATCAGAAAAGCCTAAGATAGGTTATTTTTTGTGGTCTGGGAATGCTAAAAAAAATTTTCCGTATATACTAATGGTAATTGCTTCTTTGCTTTTACACCATTTTGGCTTAGGAAGTTTCAAAGGAACACTCTACTTTTGGAGAGTGGGAGAAACCTGCAGGTACACAGTACAATATTTTGTATTTTAAACTATCTCAATGGTATTCAAGTCCCAACATGCTAAGAATGCCTAATACATTTTTAACCAATTAATTTGGTATAAGTGAAAAAATTAGACACATCAAAAAAATTAAAAAGCTGCTAATTAGTTTCCACTATGTTTGGGGAGGAGAAAGTGGGAATCTTGAAATAAACTTATTGATATAAATGAGAGCTTTACTATGTCCCCTTTGAATGGATAGAATTCCAAATTGAAGCAAAACAAGAAATTAATAATTTCTTCAAATTGCAGCTGTGTTTTCTTAAGTGTTTTATTATATTATTTACTCCTTTGATAGGTGTAGTTGAAAGAGAGGATATCTGAAAAATATCAAGATCATAAAGCTAAGCAGGACTTTCCAATCATCATCATCATCATCATCATCATCATCATCTTTATTGTATAATGAAGTGTCTATTCTCATTCCATGAAAATGATAAAATGTCTTTCCTATATGTAACACTGTCCCAATATGTTGTGCATATTAAATGCATATATAAACATGGAATTTTTAAGAAAACGAGAATAAAATTTCATAAACAATAATTTAAATACTTTTACTTCATACATTAATGATTCAAATCATATCAATAACATTTTCTGAAAAGAAAAATATGATTAAATATACTTCATTAATTTTGAAAAAGAAAATTTAATGATCTGATGTAAACAAGTTAAGGTCTAAATGTGGGTTAATATTGATATTTAGCTTTAATATCTACATTGCTTAGTGGTTTTGTTGTTGATTAATATAATTCCTTCTTTCTTTCCTGATGTTCTTGTTCTTGTAAATTTTGTGAATTAGACATTTTAAACTTCAGCTCTATCAAAATTTTCCATTCAGTAGATTTTCAAACAGTTTAGATAAGGTGGATAGTTTTAAAATGTGCGGGTATGGCCGCTCGCCCTCTGGCCCGCCGATCGCCCCTGCATTCTGCGCACCCCAACCATGCCCGCGGGCGTGTCCTGGGCCACCTACCTGAGAATGTCCACTGCCAGCCTCCTGACCATGTGCGCCGGGGCCGAAGCCGTGCACAGGTATTACCGGCCGGACCTGACAATACCTGAAATTCCACCAAAGCCTGGAGTACTCAAAACGGAGCTTTTGGGACCGAAAAAGAGACAACATGAACCTCAAATTTCTCAACAATAAAAACCTCAAAATACTTAACTCTGCCAACAACTCCGTGAATAATATTATAAGTATTAAATATGTATTTTTAAAGTTTATTGCATCAAACTGGTTGTCTTTAAGCATCTAATGCAATGCTAACTGCAAGAGGTGCCAGGTGTTAAGGGGATGCATTGAGATTTAATTATGGATTGACCAGTGTTTCTTGAAAACTGCCAAAGTCTGTATCATCAGCTTTTTGAATGTATTGGAATAGATACTTAGTCTCGGATATCATGTGAGAATGAATATTTACAGTGTTTGCTGCCCTTATAATTCTGGTTTATTTCTCTGAATAAGCTTGACTATCGTGACAAATGGGAATTATAAATTAACTATAATAAAAGTGTCATTGATAATGAAAAAAATAAAATAAAATGTGCAGGTATGTAGACACACACTTTGCCATATAATGATCAATGAACCTCTGAATATTAATAAAATACTTTCACAGCCATTTCCTCTCAGTGCAAAGTACTGAAATACTCTAAATAATGTTATAGCTCTTGTTTTTGTAACATCATCGCTTTGACTGTATCTTGTACAGCTTTATTCTTTCTTTTAATATTTTTGTTAGGCTTTGATATATTTTCTATGCGGGCCTCACAAAATATATTTAGGAATGTCCCTTATTTTTCTATATTATGAAAGAGTTTGGAAAGATTGGTATTATTTCTTCTATGAAAGTAAGCTACTAGGGGTGCCTGGGTGGCTCAGTCGTTAAGCGTCTGCCTTCGGCTCAGGTCATGATCCCAGGGTCCTGGGATGGAGCCCCACATCGGGCTCCCTGCTCCACGGAGAGCCTGCTTCTCCCTCTCCCACTCCCCCTGCTTGTGTTCCCTCTCTCGCTGTGTCTCTCTCTGTCAAATAAATAAAATATTTTTAAAAAATAAAATAAAAGAAAAAGAAAGTAAGCTACTGAGGGCATTACGCTAAGTGAAATAAGTCAGCCAGAGAAAGAAATACTGGGTGATATCACTTATATGTGAAATCTAAACAAAACAAACTCATTGAAACAGAGATTAGAATGGTGGTTAGCTTATAGTAGGAGTAGCCAGATCCTAGGTGCTCAATGAATGTTGGTTAAGGAACCAAGATGCATTGGACTCCGGGATAGGGTTGGAGACTGACAAGGTTTCAAAGAGGACAGTTTTGCTTTTAGCCATTATAGCTTGTCTGAAGTTGTTTATTTAAATTCCTACCTCTGAATCTCCACATTTCTCATTTTCTTCATCCATAAGAATAATCACCTTCTTGATATGCCTTGCAAAGATTTTGTGATGTCTAAATCATGTTAAAATAAACCAATCTATGCCTAAAAAAAAAAAAAAGAATGGTGATTAGCAGGGTCTGGGAGGTTGAGAGAAAGGGGAAATGTTGGTCAAAGACTACAAACTTCCAGTTATAAGTTGAAGTAATATCTGGGCATCTAATGTACAGCATAGGGATTATAATTAATAATACTGTATTATATACTAGAAAGTTGCTAAGAGAGTAGATCTTCAATGTTACACATTACAAAAAAGAAATGGTAGTTAGGTGACATGATCTAAGTATTAGCTACTGCTGAGGTGGTAATCATTTTGCAATATATGTGTCCCAAGTCAACACATGTACACCTTCAATATACACAATATTATATGTCAATTATATGTCAAAAGAGCTGAAAAAAATTTTTATCCTGTAAAAAAAAAAGAATTGACCAAATGAGCCTGGACTTATCTTTGGGTAGAGGTTTTTTATTCAAATTCAACTTGTTGAAGATAAACATATTTAAGAAAATATTTTATGAATTGTGTCTTATGTTAATTTGGTAAGTTGTATGTTTGAAGGAATTTGTAATTCATTTAAGTTGTTGGAATAAAATTGTTTATAAACACATATGTTTATGTGTTTATGTATACAACATAAATTACAATGATTAGTTTTAAAAATATCTTTATTATGTATAAAGCTATTTCAATTTTCTTCCTGATGTTGGTGACATGTGCTTTATTTTTTCTTTTTCTTTTTTTTATCAGCCTTGCTAAGAGCTTACTACTATTATTAATATTTTCCAAAAACCAACTTTTGACTGTTAATTTTATGTTTGCTTTCTTTTTTCCATAATTTCTGCACTTTTTTTTTTCCTTCTTTGCATGATATCCTTCTTTTCATTTGCTTTAGGTTTATTTTGCTGGTTTTTTTTTTTTTCTATTTCCCTAAGAAATATAATTAGACCATGGATTTCTAAATTTCCTTATTTTTTTCATACATGCATACACAGACATAAATTTATTTGTATCCAATGATTTAGTTATACCCTATATTTATATTTGGCTGAGTTAAAGTTCATTAATACTGTCTTCTGCAGTCTTCAATCTACTATTAAACATAAGTGAAATTTTCATTTCACTTGTTTTAGTTTTCAGATCTCAGATATCCATTATCCTTTTTTAAGAACGCACTTTCCTGCTGAGTTTCTCAGTCATTTTGCTCTTTATGACCTTATTTTCCTTTAATACCTGGAGTATGTTTATTATAACTTCCTTAAAAAAATCATCTGCTAATTCCAATACCTGGGTCATTTTGTTTCTATTGGCTGCTCTTTTTCATGATGTTAGGTCATATTTTCTAGTCTTTTCACATGACTAGTAATTGTTTAATGTTATGCTACACACTGGTTATGGTAAGTGTAGGTATTTCCTCTCTGTCTCTGTTTCTCTGTCTGTCTCTCTCTATATATAAAAAATATATATTAATTATATATTATGTTATTAATGTATAATAACATATATATTAATTCAGTGATTTTTGTTTAGGAGGCATCAAATTACTTTAGGTATACCATGCTTTTTCCGCCCTTTTCTAAAAAAAAAAAAAAAACTTGTTATATAAGGTCTATTTTAATTTTGAAGGTAGTCCTATGTGATAGCTCTTCCTCTGTTGTTTGATCTTCTTTCTAAACTGTGACCTTCCTGTGATCTCAGTTGAGTGCTCAGCGAGATGAGCCAATAGCTGGGGTGACTGTGGGCTCACCGCGCTTCTCTTAATTATCGCAATCCTAACTCACCTAGTGTTCAACATTTGTAAAGAATCAGCTAATATGCTGTCTCTACTTTGATACTTACTTTTTGGAAGGCAAATGCAGAATCAATTACTTTGTCATGGCCAGAAGTGGGAGTTCTGCAAAAATCCATTAAGTAATTTGTCATATTTTGAGGTAGTGTTTTCTATAAAGCCATGTAATCCTTCTTTGTGGAATTTCTTGGCAAGACAAACCATCTGAGGTACAGAAAAAGAGAGAACAGTTGTCAATCACTTATTAAATGTTAATAAAGCTTAAATTCTTTCTAATGTTAGATATGCAATAAGTATGAAAATCAATTCTAATATTTTCCTTCCACAACTCAATGCGTTGCATGCTGTGAGACCACTCTACTTGGGAAGTCATTAGATGGAGGGATAATCCACTTTAATTTGCTGTGAATAAATTCAACCTCAGAATTTCAGATATGGATGTGGGTACTTGTAATGACAATGATTTCATTAGCTGTTTTTGTTACAATTTCATTACTTCCTTAGGGCTTTATTGTTTCTCATTTCCTATCTAATAAGTTATCATGTTTCTGCATTAGAAAACTTTCTTTAAATAGAAAAGTTAGATTTAAAATATAAAGTGTCATTTTTGTTAAAGTAATTTTTGAAAGCATTTACTTTTTAAAAACAAAATAATACTTTAGAGTAGGATTTAAATTTCCAAATGTGACTTTACGTATGGAGGTCTTTTGAATCTTTCAGTTGTCCTTCCAAAGTGATCAACAAGGTGTCTTCTTAAAAAAATAAGAATTCTTGGGGCGCCTGGGTGGCTCAGTCAGTTAAGGGTCTGACAGTTGATTTCAGCTCAGGTCTTGATCTCAGGGTCATGAATTCAAGCCCCGTGTTGGGCTCCATGCCCAGCATGGAGCTTACTTAAAAATAAAATAAAATAAATAAGAATTCCAGGGCACCTGGGTGGCTCAGTCGGTTGGGCATCTGCCTTCAGTTCAGTCATGGTCCGAGGGTCCTGGGATCCAGCTCCACATCAGGCTGCTCTACGGGGAGCCTGCTTCTCCCTCTCCCTCTGCCTGCCACTCCGCCTGCTTGTGCACCTGCTCACTCGCTCTCTGTCAAATAAATAAATAAAATCTTTAAAAAAAATAAGAATTCTGTAAGTGCAGGAGACATTTACTGAGTGCTCCTTTTTCTGGAAAATTGCCAAGCCCCTAATCCCTATGATTTAAAGTGATCAAATCTGACATATATTTTTACAAGGTATAGTGCATCCTGTCTAAGGTAGATTGGAAGAGGGATAAGGACCTATTGCAAACTTGGTTGGTCTTCATCCCTACCCTGTGATTAAGATGAAGAAAAAAAAAATTCTCTCTAGCCCTTGCTCTACACTGTGTTTTCTTGTATATGAATCTAATTTTAGGAAGATATCTACAGAGAAAGAGGGAAACAAAAAATTATAGAATTAGGGGCACCTGGGTGGCTCAGTTGGTTAAGCGACTGCCTTTGCTTCAGGTCATGATCCTGGGGTCCCGGGGTGGAGTCCTACATCGGGCTCCCTGCTCGGCGGGGAGTCTGCTTCTCCCTCTGACCGCTCCGCCTCTTATGCTCTCTCTCTCTCACTCTCTCTCTCAAATAAATGAATAAAATAAAATCTTTTTAAAAATTATAGAATTAATTTAAAAAAGAGCTTTAAGAATAAACATGAGAAGTAGGTGTGAGTTCATTCCTAAAAACTAATGTTTCTCCTACCTTTGATTTTGTAAAACTTTGTCTATTAATAAATTATTTTTACTCCTCCCAAAGCTTCCTTTCAGTTTTGTTCCTTTTACTTATAAACAAAAGAATTCTAATTAAGGATTCATTTCATTATGCCTTAAATTTTTGTACATTAAAATTAGTAGTGTTAAGAACTCACTGTCACTCTCTTTTAGCTTCCATTAGATAAAAGAAATACCTAATTCTATAAATGAAATAGTATC